GAACTCACAGAGATCCTCCTGGCTCTGCCTCCCGAGTGCTGGGATTAAAGGCGTGCGCCACCACCGCCCGGCGATAGTATAATCTTGTGATAGTATAATCTTGCTTTTCTCTCTCTCTGTAATAATTCTCATATGTTAAAATACAACTGAAAACCCCAGACTACTTTATTCAGATATGGTGTGCATGAAATTTAAAAATGTACCCATTTAAAATGACAGTTTGTGTTTTGTAGTTGTATACGCCCGTGACACCAACACCACAATTTAGACAGTTCTTCCAGTAGCCCTTTCAAATCCCCGCATGCCTCCTTCCTTGATTTCTCTTCTTTTCCACTCTTCTCCAGGTAACAGCTGCCCTGGGTTCTCTTCTTAATTCATACCGTTAGAATTGGAGGATATACTGTAGTCTGCCTTCATTTGTTTAGCAGAAGTTTGAGACTGTTCCTTGTTACGGCTAGGGACTGTTTCGCTGAAATGTGACTGTGCTGCACTTCATTTATCTGCTCACCAGTTAACAGGCATTTGGCTTAGTTTGTGTTTCTGGCTATTATAAATGAAGCTGTTATAGAAGGAAATCTGTGTTACAGGTCGTTGGCTGGCTACTTGTCCATCTCTCTGGGGCCTACAGTGTAGGAGTGTTTGATTTGGTTCTTGCTCATCCTCAGCTCTTGCACTGTAATCTAAGAATATTCTAGCTGTCCTTGTCACTCTTTAGTAGTGTGTCATTGTGCCTTTCTGTGCATTTTGTTGGTGACTAGTGGAACTGAGCATCTTGCTTGAATTCCATATATATCTTAATTTTTTTTGTAAACCAATAGAATTTTTTGTTTGTTTTGTTTTTTTGGAGACCATGTCTTATGATGTAGTCCTTGATGGCTTTGCACCCAGGGCAGTCCTGCTTAAGTCTTCTGAGTGCTGGATTATAGATATCAGTCTGGCTCTAGAGTCTTTCATCTGCTTTCATTAGTGCTTCTCATCATGTTTTTCTTTTAAACTCAGTTCTTCTATTGGCTTCAATTATTTCTTGAGATTTTATTTATTTTTATTTTATGTGTATGAGTGTTTTATCTCCATGTATGCACCACATGCTTGTAGTGTTCTGAGTGGGGAGGCCACAAGAGGGTGTTGTGGCCTTTGGAACTGGAGTTACGGATAGTTGTGAGCCACCATGTGGTTACTGGGAACAGGGCCGAGGTCCTCTGAAAGAACAGCCAGTGCTCCTAACTGCATCTCTCCAGTTCCTCTCCATTAAGAATTACTTGATACTTTTTTTTGAGACATGTTTCATGTAGAGTAGGCTGCACCAAACCCTTACGTAACTGAGGACAATTTTGGACTCCTGGTCTCCCTGCCTCTGCCTCCTAAGTGTTCAATTACAGGTGTGTACTGTCATACCTGGATTTCTATGGTAATGGGGATTAAGCCCAGGGGCTTTATGCATGCTTGGCAAACACTCTACCAGCTCCATCTACATCCTGAAAACTGCTTTTGAATAAGAGTATC